GGGGGGGGGGGGGGGGGTTGGGGGTTTCAAATGACTGGTGCATAACGCGATATGCTGCTCAAAGGAACACAAGGAATAACGCGATGTGCTGCTCATGCTAGTGTAGAAGTAGAAGTCTTCAAGCTGGATAAAAATCATCAAATGCCTTGCAAATGTGAATTGTCGGCAGAAAAATACGGGCGCTTCCGATTGCTCCCGATACTTTACGAAAATCCGGACTGGACACCATCATCATCGCTCATCGCGTTTGTGTACTATGTGATAATGGCTAGCCCGCAAACGGGCTAGCCACAAAAATTATCGTGTTACCATGACAACTACTCTAGATACTTCCTGTTGCCCTGCAATTCCGGTGCAGTGCTCTAACCAACTGAACTACAGAGTCCAGTTCTAACCACATGCAAATTCATGTATATATACTAAGGTGAGGTTGCATTTTAGATCTATAAATATATTAAAATTTACACTCAAAATTTACATCTTCAAAATCCCAGATAGCAACCATTTTGTATCTGCAACACTAGCACGCTGTTCATTGACAGTTGTCGACAAATAGGTTTCGTCACGCTTAACACCATTTGTGCCGTTACGGGGGAAGGGGGTCCTAGTCTGTGCCGTTAAATTTACGTTTCCGTGCCAAAAACTCGCCTTAAAAAAGTTGCTTATAACGGGCGAAAATTGACCAATTTCTTTCGTATCCCCCATCAATATTATGCTATATTTTATACTCCCCGTTCACAATGCATCTTCTTAATGGGAACTGCAAGAATCTAAATCTACACAGAAGCTTTTCCTTTCAGGTACGTACTTTAACACAACTTGGATTTTGTCTTGGTATTGCACACTTAACAATGGTATTGTACACTTAACACATATTTCAAATGTTTTGCAGATTTGTCGGCTAATAAGCAAGGACTTCTAAATTGTAAAATAGAGCCTGATACTCAGGTTAGGACTTCTAAGACAAGTGTAATATAACAACCACCTGAAAATCGGGAACGCTGATTCATGGGCGCAAAAGAAATATGTCCATTAAAGTTTCGAATTCCTATCTACAGCAGAGTTTTGCGATCATCAGGTTATCATGATTGAACAAAACCGTATACTGTAGCATGTATAACCATGGGCGCACAAGAACTTTCAATTGGTCCGATTTCCAAGATGCGCCACCACGGTTGGCGCCGAGCAGAAAATTTTTTAAATTTGGAGTCTCTACATTGTCGGAAATGGCATTTTCGAGTACACACTTTTCCATTTACAACTCAATTACAAGGACATGCACATTTTACTTTTAACTTCGTCCCCGATTGGCAGGGCAATTATGAGTACAATTTTAAGTGATAGAATGTAGAGTTATTAAAGTGCCTATGTCATAGTCAGGGAATTAGCCTATATTTTGATAGTTTAGATGATTTTAAGAACTTTTGCAATATATTTTATAATTCGAAAATTTGATCTTCATGGACTTTCAGGGGCTCAAAGTTGGCGATTTTTTGCTTAACCGAGAGTGTAAAAGGACTAGGGCGAGAGTGCCTGTAAACGCCGGATGTGACGTCAAAGCGGGAACTTATCAAAACAAAATACATATGATTTACTATAGTTTCTTGATAAAATCGAGTATAAATTAGATGTTTCTGGAAATTTCTTCGATATTTCGATTGAAATTTAATTGAAACTATATCCTTAACCTTCAGTTATCCAACTGACAGGCAGATTGGGCGAGATACTAATTGTATGACTGAGTGTGCAGGTCAAACACGTATACGCTGATGCTGATCTATCTTGTTTATATACAGACATAACGGGACAAAACGTGTGGGCTGTTGTTAAAACCAATCCAGGAGAATCTATTCTCTTTGCCAATACATGCCAGATTGGAAATTATTGTGGGCAAAACACCTCGTCCAGGATCAATAAAAGCGCTGGTTTGCTTTGAATTTGGGCGTCATAGATGTGCGTCAGGATGTGCCGTAAATTTGTGAAAAATGTGGGTAAATGCGAATTTTATATGATATAAAAAGAGAAACTCTTAAGGCAAAGTGAACTTGTTTATTATGATTGATAGGTATTCATGAATTAAAAAATCGATGCAAAATCGCCAAAATCATCACTTGTCAAAATGATCATCACTTGTCAAAATGCAAGTTGGTCTAGATCTATTATATTGTGTTCATGAAATAATACAACTATATAGGCTACATTTTTTAAGGTGGCTCCCTAGGGTTTTTGAATTTACTACACCATATAGTATTCAAGAACTCCTGTTTCTTAACTTTACATGACATGAAAACGAAATTTATTGGACACATTGACAATGCTCTCCTGAACATTGCAATTTGCTACTTTTGTGTTGAAAGTCTGTTTCCATGGCAACAGCATGCTTAGAATAAAGCTCAAAATTTGTCTTTTTCAGGCCATTTTAAAAATTACCTTCGGTGAATAATACTTGTATAAAAGATAATACTTGTATAATGATTTTTTTTCCTCAATTTAAAAAAATTATATCGATACGTTTCTTAGAAAATTTAAAAAACGTCAAAAATCAATATTAAAAATTTTCCCTTCGATTTAATTTTAAGAAAAAAGGATATTGCACTTGTTGTGCCAATATTAAAAAATGTGCAAAGTTTTAAAAAATTTTACCGAAGGAAAAGGGAGAAATTTGGGTTTAATTTTGGCAATTTTTACTAGATTTTGACGCGAACAATTTAATACCACAACTGACGTGTACATGCATTTTGTATAAAACAACAAGGGCAAGGCATGACTTTTTTTGAAATCACAAAATATAAATTATGTTTGATATACTGTTCATAACTGTGTCGGTTAATGGTCAACTAAGCGTGGATTATACATGTAAAATTGGCAAAGATATTTAGGTAATTACTGGTTATGACTTCTTGGTATTAATTTGACTACTATATCGTCGGATGTTTTCGCAAAATGCCCGTTCAAATTCTTGAGGAAACTTCCTATCATATAGGTTAGCACTAAAAGGCGGAACGCTGGAACGTGGAATGCTGGAACGTGGAACGCTGGAACGGGGAATGCTATTTTTTACCTTTTCTTGTTATTTATCAATATTTTGAGTTGATTTGCTTGGTATAACCACGCGCTCGCATAGGCAGCAATGAAGAAAACGTATTACAGCGTTTCTGAATTACGCAATAATTATAATTTATAAAGAAAGAAAGAAAGAAGGAAAGAAAGGAAGGAATTGAAGGAAGGAAGGAAGGAAGGAATTGAAGGAAGGAAGGAAGGAAGGAAGGAAGGAAGGAAGGAAGGAAGGAAAAAAGAAAGCAAGAAAGAAAGCAAGAAAGCAAGAAAGCAAGAAAGCAAGAAAGCAAGAAAGCAAGAAAGCAAGAAAGCAAGAAAGCAAGAAAGCAAGAAAGCAAGAAA